CTGCGGCCTGACCAGTGTCGCATAGAGGAGGAGTATCACCTCCTTGGACCTGCTTGAGATGCATCTGTGGATGTATGACAAGGTATAGTTGGCTTGCCTGACTGCATCCCCACACTGCTAGCCCATGTTCATCTGCCAGTGGCCGGATGTAGAGCAGGGGGGGGTTGCACACAATGGTGGTGTGGGGGGGTGTATAGCAGCAGCTTCTGCATGTGAGCTCCCCGCTCCCCCTGCATCCAGCTGGCTGAGGGGCACCTATGCAGTCTGCAGAGAGGAGCCACTGACCTCGCCCCCCCAGCCCTGGTCCTGAAAGGCAGTGGTGCAGGGTGATGGGTGACGGTGCTCCATCCCCACCTGTCCCCCCCCTTCCTCCCCATCCCTTTCCATGTACCTTTTTCTGCTCCCTGGTCTAGACTCTAGGATAATTTAGGAGTAGCTATACCAATGCTCTGCTATGGTATTTCCCATGCTTCTGTGCTTTGATGGTTGTCACATGGGGCTGGGACAGGATTTTTTTCCTCTCCTGCAACTACATGTCAGGGGTTTATTTATTTATTTTTAAGCCTTCCTCCTGCAACCAATACTGAGGATTATTCCTGTTATGTACCAATGCTCCTGCTGGGACTTAAATCCAGAGGTTCTCAGCTAGAGGGCCTTGCCCCTCTGCTCAGGGTCAGACTGATCTTTATATTTGGGGTCAGGTAGGAATTTAGCCCATGGTCAGATTGGTATGAACTGTGGGGGGTCATGGCCCTCTTCCTGCAATATCTCAAGCCTCTTTTAACAACTGTTGCAGCAGCAAGTTGTTAGCTGCCACAGCAGCATTCCCATTAAGCTGTGCAGCATGTGCGGCCCTGCAGGCATGCCTGGCAGCGTGGCATGAGCATGCCTGTGCAGCTGCGCATGCCACGCAGCTTAGAGGGAACACTGTGCCATGGTCTCCCTGCCTTCCCTTGGCAGGTTAGGGTCTTGTGTTGGGGTTGACTGTGTAGTTTTGCTAATACATTAGATCAGGGTGTTTCAACCGGGACAGACCGCCCCAGGAGGTTTCTGGCTGAGATGCAGGACCTCCACTT